CCAAACCCATCCCGGCAATAAAATATATTTAAAATAATAATAATAAAATAAAACGAGGCTCCCAACCACACTACTTCAAGAGCCACGCCCCCCCCCATTGGCTGTACGGCTTTTGGCAAATCCCTCAACACATCCGTGCCTCAGTTTCCCCTCCTGCAAACCGAGGAGTCCTGCTTGGGCCTCGGGCGCCCCTGGGTGAGTCTGCGCGCCCGCCCTCTGGTGCCCAGGCAGGGCTGTGGGCGCTCAGGGAGCTTTGCAGACGGTGGAGCAGAGCCCCGCACCAGGCGAGGGCAGGCGTTGTGTGTCCTTGTCTCCCGTCACCCAGCTGACCCCCATCCTCTTCCTCCTCGTGGCTGTCTCCTCTGCTCATGGCTCTTCTCGCCCCCGGCGCCAGCCCCCCGCACAGGCCATCCATGCACACATGACTGAGCTGATGGGCCTGAAGCATGCGTGCAGGCCGGCGCCCCGTTCCCCACCCCCGGGCCACCCTGTCCACGAGGGCCCCCCCCCCGTGACCAGTCACTCAAAACGTGCCCCCGGGCCACAGCTCGTCCTGCACATAGGCCGGGGCCGGGCGGGAGGGCGGCCCCCGCTGAGCCGGAGCCCGTGGGAGCAGAACCCCGACGCGGGCCAAGAAGGACGCTCTCAGAGGTACAGCCGGCGAGACGCACGGGGAGGGGGCAAGGAGCCGGGCCTGCGCCCCCACAGCAGGGCAGAGGGGCCCGGGGCAGCCTGTCCACCGGGGGAAGGTCACGGGCGCCAGCCGGGCTGCGGGGCGGCTTCTGGCAGCCCCCTCCTTTCTGGAGAGCCGTCGGGAACATGTGCTGGTGGACCATGAGATCCAAATCTGACCGTCTCAACGTGCCAGCGACACAAAAAATGATGAAGATGTTCCTTTTTTTAAAAAAATTATTATATTTTATTGATATTTTACAGAGAGGAAGAGAGAGGGAGAGAGAGTTAGAAACATCAATGAGAGAGAATCATCGATCACCTGCCTCCTGCACACCCCCCACTGGGGATGTGCTCGCAACCAACGTACATGCCCTTGACCGGAATCGAACCTGGGACCTTTCAGTCCGCAGGCCGACGTTCTGTCCACTGAGCCAAACAGGTTTCGGTGATGTTCCTTTTTCATCCTCCATCTTCCTCAGAGCCCCAGGAGTGTCTTACGCCTCTTTTATGCCTAGGACAGCTGGAGGTCACGTCTTAGGGCCTGAGAGCCACCTCAACTGGCTGCCCGGGGCCGTCACGGGGGACCCAGAGGCCTCCGGAGCTCTGGGAAGGAAGGGCCGAGAAGGTGGGAAGGCAGCCTTGGGGCAGACAGTGTCCTTTCTCTGTTAAGAAACTTGAAGGAGCCAAAACGGGTTTGGCTCAGTGGATAGAGCATCGGCCTGCGGACTGGGAGGTCCCAGGTTTGATTCCGGTCAAGGGCATGTACCTTGGCTGTGGGCACATCTCCAGTAGGGGGTGTGCAGGAGGCAGCTGGTCAATGATTTTCTCTCATTAATGTTTCTAACTCTCTATCCCTCTCTCTTCCTCTCTGTAAAAAAAATCAATAAAATATGTTTTAAAAGAAAGAAAGGAAGGAAAAAAGAAACTTGAAGGAGCCAGAGTCAGTCTGCACCTAAGGTTGGGGAAAGAGGTGGGGGAAAAGGGCTGGACAAACTGCTGGTTCTGAGTCTTGGCGCCCACCCGCTAAGGCAGCAGCCTTTTTTTTTTCCTTTAAAAAAAAAATATATATATATATATATATATATATATATATATATATATATATATATATTATTGATTTTTCACAGAGAGGAAGGGGGAGGGATAGAGAGCTAGAAACATCGATGAGAGAGAAACATCGATCAGCTGTCTCCTGCACACCCCCTACTGGGGATGTGCCCCCAACCAATGTACATGCCCTTGACCGGAATCAAACCTGGGACCTTACAATCCTCAGACCGACGCTCTATCCACTGAGCCAAACAAGTCAGGGCTAAAAAATATTTTTATTATTGATTTCAGAGCGGAAGGGAGAGGGAGTGAGAGATAGAAGCATCAGTGATAGGAGACAATCATTGATGGGCTGCCTCCTGCACGCCCCCTACTGGGGATCGAGCCTGGAACTGCAGCCTGTGCCCTGACCGGGAATCGAACCGTGACCTCCTGGTTCATAGATTGATGCTCAACCACTGAGCCACGCCGGCCGGCTGTTGTCATTTTCTCATTTGGCAGTCTAGGGGGACGGAGGCCTGTGCCCCTGACTGAGTAGCCAGCACTGTGTTTTGAAATTCTTGCGGCTCAGTGGCTGGAAGGCCCGGCTCTGAGGTCAGGCCCAGGCTTGCTGTTCCGTGAAGGAGAAAGCTGAGACACAGAGACCTTCTCCCGTCCTGTCCAGCTCCCTCCAAAGGCAGCCCAGGTACATACATGCACCTGGAAAGGTTAGTGTGTGTGCACATGTGTGTGCACGTGTGTGTGTGCGGGGCTCTTACTCTGAGGTTTGGTTTCA